CCTAGTTGGGACTTGAATTTAAAAGCGTCCTCCGACTCCTAGCATGCTAAATTACAGATGTATGCCACCATGCCTGGCAGTTCCATTTCTTATTATTATGATAATGATGTGATCACTCATCTGTAATGTGCAGACGTGAGTTTTTCATTTCTTCCAGGTATCTTCTTAGGAATTGAGTTGTGAGGTCATATGGCAAGACTACATTTAACATTATGAGAAACTGCCAAATATTTTTTCAAAGCAGAGCTACACTTTACATTCCTACCAGCAGTATAGGTGGCCGGGTGCTGTGTGTGGCAGGGAGGGGATGACGTGGAAGGGCCTAGAAGTGCCTGACCTCCTGCCTCCTACTTCAGGGTTCTCAGACATAAACCTTCCCATAGGTATTGGAGCTCTGGGGGAAGACACAAGCCGGAACAGGGTGGGAAAGTTTTTGTTTTATGTATTGGTAACTTTGATTTTAAATATACCCAATTTGCATATAACCTGATTCTGGTTGGAGAGAGAGATTCTTTTTTTTTTTTGGTCTTTTTCCAGTACGGGGGATCAAACTCACGACTGCCTGCTTGCAAGGCAGGCGCTTATGCCACTGAGCTAAATCCTCAGCCCCGAGAGAGAGATTCTTGCTGTTGACTTGTTCTTACTTTTGTTTTTGTTTTTTGAGACAGCTTTATTATGTAGTGCAGGTTTGCCTTGAACTCACTATGTAGCCTAAGCTGGCCTTGAACTCACGGCAGCCCTCATGCCTCAGTCTTCTAAGTGCTGGTATTAAAAGTGTACATCATCACACCCTGCTCCTTACTCTCAGATTTTCAGAGAAAGCCCAAAACAAAACAGGAAAAAAGTTTTTTCTGGTTATTTTCTTTCCCATCACTCCAGGCAGGCAGGCAGGTGAAGTGCCACATGAAAGGCCAGTTAACAAATCCTACAGTGAGCTGTTTCCACCTGAATTCTCTGGCTCTTTACCTCACTAGTGTACCATTTCCCCCCACTATGTCCCCCTCACCCTACAAAATCCCTGTAACACCCTAATTCCTGAAGCTGCCTTTAGGAAAGTTCATTCAGGAGGCGACTCCCTGAGGATACCCAGCCAGGTCTGGCTAAGTGGGAGGACCAGAGCAGTGGAACTGTGGAAAAGAGGTTTGAATTGGAGGGACAGGACATGGGAAGCCCTCCCCAAAGCTTAGGAGCATCCCTGTCGCGGTTCTGTGAAAGTCAAGCTGTGTGGAATGGCAGGGCCAAGTGAGAGGGTACGTGTGTGGGGGTGCTGCTGGGTCTTGGAAGGACCCTGCGAGGACCAAACCTACTGAGCAATATTTCCTACGGGGCACCTGGGCTAGAGGAGACCTGGCCCTGGGTACCTCTCTTCTAACAGATATGCAAGTTATAGTACAAGGTATTTTCATTTTCCTCTAGCATTCATAGAATTTCGCTTAGATCATTTACAGCATAATATCTCTGAAGAAAAAGATTTCACAAATTTTTATTTAACTTTTACATTTGTTTTAAATTTTTTTAAGTTAATGTATGTTTGCCATATATTACATGTATGTTTCCCATACATAATAGTCACATTTATCATAGGGTATTTGTAGCTGTACATAATACAGCTTAAGATTTTCCACCCTGCTCCTGCCCCAGCCTTTTTGTGTCTTCCCCCATAGCTCTAACACCTCTGGGAAGGTTTGTGTCTGAGAACCCTGAAGCAGGAGGCAGGAGGCCAGGCACTGATTCTGGGCCCTTCCACGTCAAACCTCCCTGCCACACACAGCACCCGGCCGCGTACACTGCTGGTAGGAATGTAAAGTGTAGCTCTGCTTTGAAAAAATATTTGGCAATTTCTCAAAGCTTCTTCCCTCACTTCAACTCTTCTTTCCCTCCCAATTTACAAAAGCTCTGTTTCCACTTTTTCCCTTCAGTTCTCTTTTTTAAAGTGCAGACTCTTTCCTCCTCGTCCCCCGTTCTGTTGTTCCTCTTCCCATTTGCACCAATTCTTCCTACTTTCCAACATCTTTCCTACATTTTACTCCTTATTTTCTCTTTGGGTTTATACACAGAGAATAATGTGATATTTAAACTTGTGTGTCTGACTTATTTAAGATTTTTTTGAGACAGGGGTTGCTATGTAAACTCAGGCTGGAGTCAAACTTGCAATGATCCTTCTGCCTCAGTCTCCCCAGTGTTGGGATACAGGTTTGTGCCACCACGCCCGGCTTTCACAAAATTTTAAAACCTCAAACAATTCAGATTCATATGCAGTCTAAATGGATGACTTCCACTTTAGAAAAGAGAGAGCTTTGATTTAGCTTTCTAAGTGGTGTTCCCTGCTCTCTAAATGTTTTCCTTCCTCCAACACAGAAGGGGCTATTTGACAGTTTTCCTTTGAGTCTGACCTAGCCCCACAGCCAGAGGCTCCATCAGATCCACAGCCCAAGAGAAGGGCTGGCTGCTTCCTCTGCATGACAAAGGGCGGCTGCCTTCCCTCCCCAAGACTAATCTGTCCATTGTAAAAAAATCTCCCAATCCACATTCGCATCCTTCTTTTGGCTGGTAGCTAATTACCCAATTACTTTATTTCTCCAACAGACCCTTTCAGGCTGCCTGGAATCCACATTCGTGACCTGGACCCCAATCCTGAGGAAGCATTAGGAGCCTGCAGGTTTTGCTTGGTCTGTCTGCTCACTGTCCCCACCCCGCCCAGGTTGGACCATGCTGACCGAATTCCCAGTTGGCCTGGGGACTAAAGGATAATCTCCCCAGCCCATTTTGGAGGGCTGTACCAGGGAAAGTGGCCACTGGAGATAGCTGGGTGGTGCAGGAAGACCTGGCTTTCTGTGGGTATCCGTCATTGATTGTGTGCACTCAGGGATGCTGTCGTCTTTCTGAGCCTCAACTTTCTTGGCTCTAAAACCTGGGGACAGAAGAATGGCGTGGATATTTGATTTCAGCTCTAAACTCTCATTCTACAAACTACCAGGGAGAAGGAGGAAGGGCAGCTTATTGGCTGGACCAACCGTTAAGGTTCCCAGGCTCTCCCACTTAAGTGCAGTTTTCCTAGATTGGGACTTCAGTTTCTGGAATAACTACAGACTCCCGTGCAGGCTCTCAGTAACCCCAGATTTCTCTGCAGATGAGGCTCCAGATGCCCATCCTGACGCCCTGGGGGAGCTCTGTGTACCCAGGCCATCCCAAGGACCAGTGAGACACCTGAAGGAAAGCAGGGAACACAACTGTGAGGGTCCCTCCCCTTTTTGGTCTTTTCTGGAAATTGAGGTTCCATTTAGCCAGTTAGTTACCTTGGGTGTAGAAGGCGCTTCTGGCATACATGGATTTTCAGAGCCCTCAGTCCTGGGTGGAAGACACCATGTGCATGTTTGCAGTCTCATTGTGAGTTTCAGTCTCCAGAGCTTCTGGTTGGGGCTCAGGAGGGGTCATGGCTTGCAAGGACAGCTTGGGTGTTATATCCTTGACACCCCCCCCCCCCCCGCCCCGAGTGATAAGCCACAAGGCTTCCCGTCAACCAGCAGTGAGGCTGGCTGAGTAACGCATGTTTACTGAATGGCAGCTCCAGAGAGATTTTGGGAACTGAGGGATATGGGTCTTTGGTTGCCTGTAAATGTGACACTTCTGCACCTTTTGGTCTGACTTAAGGCCCAAATGTTTGCATCACATGAATCCTTTCCCTGCTAATCACTTGCAAAGGAAGGCAGTGGTGGATTTTTGGGTTTTTTGCACAAGGGTATGCTTAGCACCTAGAGAGCAGGGTTTCTTTGATAGGGCACCTTGTATTTTAGGAGATGTTCAAATCATGAGAATTAAGCTTCAGAGCTCCAGGAGGGACTGTGTGTGTGTGTGTGTGTGTGTGTGTGTGTGTGTGTGTGTGAATGGAACACTGGGCAAGCCATACCCTGTATCCTCAACTCCTGAGATGGAATTTTAACCCCTCCTTGGGTTTCCTTGATAACAGAGGGGAAGGGAAAAGAGAAGGGAGGCAAAGAAGTAGCAGAAATCTTGATTGTAGAAACCCCAAGATCCTCTCCATGTCACCAGTCATCAGGGTGTCAGTGTTTCCTCCCCTTGGCCTCCCTCTGGCCCTGTGGTCACAGGCAGTAGTCATGGGCCAGGTGATGCCTCAGTTTCTTCATCTATGTAGCAGCAACAACAGTGACAACTTCCTCCTCATGCTGCTACATATAACACATAGTAATGCATGGAAAGCACTCAGAATCAGGGTTGTTTTTACTCTTCTTCCTGTTCTAAGTCCCTGAATACTTCCCACAAAAAGCTTCTATGTGTGTCAAAACCCTCTATGTGTACATACACATATATATGTATGACCACTTTTCAGTGAGCACAGTAAGACATTCTGATGTTAATTCCCATCAAAATAAGGTAGTGGCTTGACTATCAAACTCAATGTGTTCCAAATTTGTGTTTGAACACCAAAAAATTGGAGAACTCAGCATTTTTTTTATTTTAAAGAGAATAAAACAAAACAACAAAGCAGAGCAGAGCAAAACAATGCAAATAAGACAGGATTTCAGAACAAGACAATAGGAAGCCAACAGTGACTACCATAATGTCTCTTGTTTTCTTCAAAACAGTTATCTATACCTTCATACACATAAGCTGATACAAAACAAAACAGTATAAAAGCAATCAAAACAAAAGAAAACAAAGACAAAACAAAACAAAAGCAATCAAAACAAAAGCCTTATGGGCCTTTGAAACCAGACATCAGGAAATCAATAATGGCTACCATAATGTCTCATTTTCTTCAAAATAGCTGTTCATACCTTCATATATATTAAAATCAAATAATTGAAAAGAGACTAAAACTTATCAAAACCAAGAATTAAAAGATTATTGGTCTTGTTTTCTTCAGTGTAGCTGTTCATACCATCACATATACTAAAATCAATTCTTGTAAACTCTTTAGATGAAGGAACTGAACATATTTTTCTGATAAGAAATAATGGAAAACCAAACCAGGTGTGTTGACTTAGGCCTATAATCTCAGCATTGGAGAAGTTGAGGCAGGAGGATCACTATGAGTTCGAGAGCAGCCTGGACTACATAGCAAGACCCTGTCTCAAAACAAAAGGAAAGAAAGAAAAAACAAACATCGGGTGTTGAGACCCCAAAAATTATGCTTTAAAACTAATTTTTCCAGGACTTTAACAAATTTTGCAATGATTTAACTCTATCATGGTTCTTAGTTTCCCTCTTAGCATTATTGCTGGTATCACTAACTTTATTGGAGCCACGGTTATTTTACACAAAGTGCAAAAAAATAGCACAGTGACAACTGTTGGTTCACAGTGTCTCCAGCACTATAGTCGTGGGCAAGGGCAGTGCCAGCCTGAAGTGTAGCCTCTGCTTGCTGTGCTGCTGCACGTGATGTGTCTCACCTTTCTGTCCACAGAGGTCTCTTCAGGTCCGATTTTCAATTTGATTACTGAGCAAAGTTATGAATACCTAGCAGATTTGTTTCCAGTCTGGCGGTTCAAGTAGTGGAAAGTTCAAATTTAGAGCCCCTGCACCCATGGTGTGACTGAACCCTCCCTGCCTGAACACACTCATTCCATGTTCTTTGCAATGTGTCATTCATTGTGAGAATGGTTTTAGAAATTTTAAACATCCACTGTACTTTTGATTACCCTTTGTACACACACACATGCAAACGCAGTGGTTTACAAATGCTTCTGTAGCATATGTATGTACACATACACATGTGTGTATGTGTGTATATATGTGTATAGGTGTGTGTTTGTATTTGTATGTGTATGTGTTTGTGTGTGTGTGTCTTTGTATGTGGTGGAAATCTGTGTTTCCATCCTTGAGAACCACAAAGTTCTCTCCTGTCTGGGATGCAAGACACAGAGGACTGTGAATAACATAGCATCCCCTAGAGCCCAAGGTGTCCACTTGCCTAGGAAGTGGCCAGGTTGATTTCTTCTCATTGCCTGGTGGTCCTTGTGCAGGTCCTTGTCTTCCTCCACCGTCACTGTTCAGTCCCATGTGGCAGAACACAGGGGTGGTGGCTGGAGTTTCAGGAAGGGACTCTTCTCATCACCCTCAGATCCCCCAAGCTGTGAGGAGCCTCTGGAGACAGACATCATCCATACCTGTGCTTACATCCCAAACCCTTCACCACTGGGGAGGGCAGCAGGTCACTGTTCCACTGGAAGAGATTTAAACATCTGTCTCTTTTTCACAGAGTGGCCTCCCCTTTTCATGGACAGGACTAGGGAAATTCATCAAGCACTAAAATTACTGTTGAGCTGCCATAGTGGCCCAACCAGAAGTTCTTCGCCTGTGTGGTATCCAGACAACTCTTTGTGTTCCTTCTAGACAGCCCCCTCCTCAGGGCTCAGGGCTCGTCTGGCTGCAAGCTCTCTGGAGGTTGGGGGTGTGACCTCACACCCTCCCTCCCTAGCCTGGGCCAGCTATAAAACTGGCCTGGCCCCACATCTCTGCAGACCCAGCCCAGCTCGAGGCCCTCCTGGACTGACACTGCACAGCTCTCCTGGGCAGCACCATGCAGCTTGTGTGGTTCTGCTGGGCACTCTGGGTGCTTTCCCTGGCTGGCCCGGGGTCGGCCCTGACGGAGCAGCAGGTTCTGCACAGCCTGCTGCAGCAGCTGGGGCTCCACCAGGTGCCTGTTCTGGACAGGGCTGATGTGGAGGGACTGGCCGTCCCTGCTCATGTGAGGGCCGAGTATGTGGCTCTCCTGCAGCGCAGCCACGGGGACCGCTCCCGCGGGAAGAGGTTCAGCCAGAACTTTCGAGGTGAGACCCATGCCCCTGCCCCCGATAACACAAGGGTTTGCCCCATGCAGTGCTGTCAAGGGATCCTTGCTTTGTGAGGCAGGATTAATGGGCATTGAGGAGGGACCACAGTCCACGAGGCTGACCGGGCCCGGGGGTACCGCTCAGGGCCAGGACCCACTGGCGAGGGCTAGGTCCCAGAGAAGGAGAGGGGAGGCTGAAGGTAACTGCCTGCGGGCGATGTGGGAGGACGCACTCGCACTCCGCACAACGGAGTGCAGACAGGAAGCACTGGGGTCTGCTTCCACCCTCACCTGCAGCGCCTGCATTCGAAATCCTCTCAGCCCTGTGCATTTCTAGTGCCGCGCGCAGTCTGTGAGCACCATTGGCAGTCCCGGCGCCCGCTGACCCCAGGGCAGTCTCTGCCCACCGGGGCTGTCCTCCCCTTCCCGCTGGAGCTGGATGAGGGGGCGCTGGCATCCTCCAGGCCCACAGCCTAGCGCCGCCTCCTCCAGCGGGTGGAGACGCTCCGCGAGGTGCTGCCCCAGGCCCTGTTTAGGTCACGGGTCAGCCCCAGATCGGGGCAAGTGCTGCTGCCCTCAGCGCCCCCCGGTGGCGCGTGGCCCGGCTGAACCCGTCTTGTCTCCAGAGGTGGCCGGCAGATTCCTGGCTTCCGAGGCCTCCACGCACCTGCTGGTGTTCGGCATGGAGCAGCGGCTGCCACCCAGCCGCGAGCTCGTGCAGGCCGTGCTGCGGCTCTTCCAGGAGCCAGTGCCGAAGGCTGCGCTGCGCCGGCTCGAGCGGCTGCCCACGCGCGGCGCCCGGGCACGCGTCACCATCGAGTGGCTGCGCGTCCGCGACGACGGCTCCAACGGCACGTCCCTCATCGACTCCAGGTGGGGCTCGCGGCAGGCAGGTGCGGGAGTGGCTCTGTCACATGCATGGGCTGGGTTTTCGGCCGGCCCGCCGCTCACGAGCTGTCTGTCTGTCGCAGGCTGGTGTCCGTCCGCGAGAGTGGCTGGCAGGCCTTCGACGTGACCGAGGCAGTGAACTTCTGGCAGCAGCTGCGCCGACCCCGCCAGCCCCTGCTGCTGCAGGTATCCGTGCAGAAGGAGCTCCCGGGTGCAGGGCCCGCCGACATTCACCGGCTGGTGCGCTTCGCGGAACAGGGCACGCGGGCTGCGCGGGCGGAGCCCCAGCTGGAGCTGCACACGCTGGACCTGCAGGACTACGGGTGGGTGGGACGAGCTCCCCAGACAGGCGCGGCTAAGGCTCAATTTACAGAAAATATCTTCTTGTATTTGGGAAAGGGGGGGGGGTATTGTCTTATATGTGCCGATATCGTAGTTCTCTGTTTTCAGTTTACTCTCGTGATTGTCTTTAAAAATACTAGCTTTCTCTGTAACTAAGCATGAAATCCTTTTTTCATGGGACAAGTTAGTTACTGCAGGCAAAAAAGGGACTGCAACTATTGGTTCCTCATGTGATGATTCAGTTATCCAACCAAAGTTCAAAAATATTTTTTTAAAAAAAATCTCATCTTGAATATGTAGCAATGTTTTTTTCTCATCATTATTTCTTAATACTGTGTAACAACTATTTTCATAACATTTACATTGTACTAACCAAGAGATGATTTAAAGTATATGGGGACGAGACGTGGTGATGCAGGCCTGTAAGCCTGTCTACTGGGATCACAAGTTCAAGCCTAGCCTAGGCAGTTTAGTGGCACAAATAAAAAATAAATTAAAAAAAATAAATAAGGGTTGAGCTTAATGTAGTGTTGGAGAACCTATGGCAGGAGTGCCACAGCAGGCTGTTTGTAATCACTGAAAGCTTTTGGAAGGTTTGACATCCCTGGTTTAAAGGGTTTGGGTTCATTCCCCAGTACTGAAAAAAATAATCTTTTGGATGATGTCTGCAGGTTATATGTGAACACTGCACCATTTTACACAAAGGATTGGGCTTCCACAGATTTTGACATGGGCAGTGTCGTGCTGGTGGTGGTGATCCTGAAATTCATCCCCAGCAATGCCTGGTACTGCTGAGAGCTGTGTGGCGGCCAGGGCCGGGCCTTAAGAACAAGCAGGTTGGGCACCATGCAGCTTTGCCTTCCCTGAGCACCTGTGGGTCTCAGTGTCTGCAGGTGTGGGAGAGCTGACGTTGGGGCCTCTTCAGGTCCATCTGTGTTGCACCCAGTTCATCTGGCACAATGGGAGACTTTTGGTCAATAGTGCCTGGCTAAGAGTACTCTAGCTAAGAGTTAATCATTTTTCTCTACCACAGGTGTCCAGCTCTTTAACATACCGAGAGATGGACAGCCTCCTCCCCAGATGCCCTCTAAGCTGGACCCTCAGCCTCTCCACTGACCTGGCCACCTCTTCTTGCCCTGCAGAGCTCAAGGCAATTGTGACCCTGAGGCGGGGGAGTCGAAGATCACACGGTGCTGCCGCAGGGAGACGTACCTGGACCTGCAGGGGATGAAGTGGGCTGAGAACTGGGTCCTGGAGCCCCCTGGCTTCCTAGCCTATGAGTGTGTGGGTAGTTGCCTGCAGCCTCCGGAGCCCCTGACCTTCAAGTGGCCGTTTCTGGGGCCACGGCAATGCATTGCCTCGGAGACAGCTGCACTGCCAATGATCGTCAGCATCAAGGAGGGGGGCAGGACCCGGCCACAGGTGGTCAGCCTGCCCAACATGAGGGTGCAAAAGTGCAGCTGTGCCTGGGACGGGGCGCTGGTGCCAAGGGCCCTTGAGCCATAGGTGCTCTGTGCAGCCACCTAGCCTCTTTCCGCACAAGTATGCAGAAGCAGGTCTCAATGTAGGTCTTGGTTGGTTGGTTTGTTTGGGGTTGTTTTTGGAGATGGGCTCGCTATACTGCTCAGGCTGGCTGGCCTTAAGCTTGCAGTTGCGTGACTCAACCTTCTGAGTGCTGGGATTAAAGATGGGTACCACCATGTCCAGCTTTAATGTAGGTCTGAATTTTACACTTAGCAAGTTACCCTTGCCCCAGATTAGTGCCCTTGTGTTACCTTGGCCCTGTGTGCTTCTGCTTGCTGTCCTTATTGTCCCCCACCCACCCTAAGCACTTACATTTCCTATCATGCAACTCTGATGTTTAGCTGCAGGAGGAAATCTTGGCTACTTAACTGAGGATCTGGCTGAGCAATGGACAAATTCTCAGAGAGCTGCTCTCTGGAAAATTCTCAACTGAAACAAAACTGTGTCCTGAGAACTGGGAAAACAGCCCGGATTTACTCGATTACATGATGAATTAAAACAAGAAAATTCTGTTTCTCCTAGATAGGAACAATATTTGAAAAGGAACCTTCCCATTCCCCAAATACTGACCCACCCTAGACTTATGTATGTTCCCAGTCCCAGGAGGGTGCGAGGAGAGAGGATGCAGGGCTTTAGGCTCAGGGAAATGGACAGAATCAGGATACCTGTTTTCTGGATTGGGCAGGGCTATGGGCTGGGACCTCAGGCAAATGCAGAGGCTCCCACTGAGATGGCCACTGATCTGGTGATGGAACAGTCTCTAGCACTGCCCACTATGCCAGAGCCAGGATTACCTGTGCAAACTGAGGTTATCCCCACTATTCTAGACAACTTGTCACCAGCAACCATGGGTACTTAGGTGCTATTTCTTATACTTAGCAAAAACAAGTGAATGTAGATAGTCAAAAGAAAAATAAAAGTGATGTTTTGCTGTTTCTGTACTTAATTTCTGGTACATGTTACATAGAGAAAAGAGCGATAATGAGGAATGAGGGTGTAAACAAGGACTTCTAACTTCTGGGGCAATGACTGCAATAACTAAACATATAAAACTTTAAGATTTTTTTTTTTTTGTCTTTTTGAAACAGGATCTCACTATACAGTTCGGGCTCACCTTGAGCTCACTTTGTTAGCCCAGGCTGGTCTCAAACTCACAATGATCTTCCTGCCTCAGCCTCCTAAGTGCTGGGATTATAGGTGCATGCTACTATGCCCAGCCACAAGGTATGCTTTTTAAAAAAATAGTTCTGATTCCAAAAATGACTGCGAATAATCATTCGCATAGCCTCTTTAGATAGCACTTTGAACCCTGCAACAGTGGACACGAAGATAGGGATAGTAGTTTGGTAAGCAAGCTCGTATCTCCTGAGGCTGGGATATAACTTTGATACAGTATTCATCTAATATGCAAGGCCTGACATTTTCTTCCTAGCTACCACACACATATTATTTGGAGACCATCACACTTGGCAATTCCCCTCTATTGGTCTTTCCTGGGTTTCCTTATACCTGACTGGAGAAACTTGTACTTCAAGTTCGTGGACTCTTACCCACAGGGTAATATGAATACCCACTGAATACTGGAATGAAAAAATTTGAGCAAAAATGTTGTTTAAGGACAACAAAGATTTGAAAACATAGCAGGAGTATTTTTGAGGGGAAGGGGAAAGGATTTGGTGTGTGGTTACTTATTGTGCAAGAAGGATACATGAGGAGTAATAGCCATCTATATATTTAGTGATGTATCTGTAGCTCTGGAAGACTTGTAGTCTCCCACGATGTCACGGCAATTAGGGGCAGGAATGGGCCTGCTTATACCGCAGTAAGTACGAGTTTAGAAATCTAGGAGATAGGCTTTGCTTCAAAACATAAAATTGTGTTTAGTAGCACAGGAAGACTGTGGTAGGCAACATGTGCTTCCTAAAAACATCCATGCCCCCACCCTTAGAACCTGTGGATATGGGTACAGGACTTTGCAAACATAAGAAAGACTAAAAATCTTTTTTTTTTTGGTCTTTTTGAGAGGGGTCTCGCTATACAGTTCAGGCTGGCTTTGAGCTCACTTTGTAGCCCAGGCTGGTCTGGAACTTGCAACAATCCTCCCACCTCAGCCTCCCCAGTGCTGGGATTACAGGCATGAGCCACCTCGCCCGGCTCAAGACTAAAAATCTTAATAAGGGAGTTCTGTGGATTATCTGGGTGCCCACTCCAGCCACATGGGTCCTCACAGCAGAGAACTTTCTCTGGCTGAGCTGGGCAAGATGAGGTAGAAAGGAGCAGTGGAGGATGTGGCCCACTCTGTAACTCCAACATCTTGGGAAGCTACTGCAGAGGGTTCTGGGTAATTTAGAGAGAACCTGTATCAAAATAAAGTAGTAATGGTAATAATAATAAAGGGTCAGGGATATTGCTTACCTTTTTAGTTTGATCACCAGTGCCAAAAAAACAAAACAAAAAACAACGAAATTCTCCAAACCAAAACATGGCAATATCTTACTACTCTGAGTATTTCAGTAACTTTTATTGTGTATTTGTTAATTGTACTAAAAGTAGCTGGTTTGTTTTTTTAGGGTATTTACTTAGCTATATATAATAGTTGGTTTGTATGAGATGGTTAAAAATCCCGAGGTAACAGGTTTTCTTTGTTTTGCCTCAATAGCTGTTTAATCTATTTAATCTATGTGTAGAGAAACGTTTTATTTTGCTGAGTTGCTTTAGCAAAACAAATTAGAATAAATTTAAGATGTGTCATACTAGCCGAGCATGGTGGCACATGCCTGTGATTGCAGCACTTGGGAGGCTGAGATACTGGATCACTGCAAGTTCAAGGCCAACCTTGGCTACATAGTTAAAAGTCAGTCTGAACCACACAGCGACTCTATCTCAAAAACAAAGCAAAACAATTAACAACAACAAAGAAAAACCACATGTCTTACTGTACAGGAAAAAGAAGTGTGGCAGTTACTCTTCAACGCCTAATCTTGGTTCTCCTTAGCGGTAGATTAGAAACAGTATCAGTGGCCTGGGGTGGCTCAGGAGTACAGCACCACTACAGAAAAGAAAGACAATTCCCCCTCTCCCCATTTGATCTAATTTTATTTTCCTATAATAAAGAAGGATTATGTAACAGCAAAAATAAATGCAAAACATAGCAGATGTCCTCTGGGTGGTTTCTAGGTCTGGGAGGATGGGATGCAGGACTTGCCACTTTGCTGTGCAACTAGAGGACCTGGGGAGAAGGGTGAAGGCACCAAGAATATGTCCATGGGAGGCTGGGAGTCAGGCTCGGGCCTCCTTGATAGTGTTTCAAGAGGCTGCACAAGGCTGGCCTACCCCACCCCTCCATCTGTCCCTCATTTTGGCCTGAGGGAACTTCATAGTCACCAGGTGTAATCATCATGGTGGACTCAGCGCCAAAGAAATAGGCCCTGACATCAGCAAGGCCCTGCAAGGAGAGTTAAATGGAACTGTCTACCTTTAAAGTGGATAACAGTAGGGTGTATGGGCTGGGGGTGCAGCTTGATGATAGAGGGTCTGCCTAACATACATGAGAGCCCAGATCCAGTCACCAGCACCACACACACGTGTGTGCGCGCGCACACACGCATGCACGCGCACATGTGTATACACACACATACAGAGACGTGCACACACACTTATGCACAAGCACACACACAAAGGAAGAAGAGAAAAGCTGCATGCTTGTGAACCTTAAACTTAGGAGATGAAAACAATAGATCTCAGGGTACCATCAAAAATAACTGGTATTTTTTTTTTTCCGGTGCACGGGATGGAACCCAGGAGCACTTGCTGGTCTACCATTCTCAGGCTGTGCCACTGAATTACATCCCTCGCCCCACAGCCAGCCTTTGGTCAGCAGCTTCTGTGGTCAGGCTTTGCGAGTAGGTGCTGTCACTGCCCCTCCCTTATGCTGCCTTGTCTCAAACTGCCGAGGAGAAGTCAGCACGAGTCACCAACACAGCCTCATTCCTCAGGCTTTTGGAAGCCTCCTGTTCCATCTCTGCTCCTGGAAACAAGGCAGGCGGCACCCAGGTGGCTAGTGAAGGTGGGGTGTGAAGGGTTGGACATGCCTTTACCTTGGGCACAGCATCCTGGAATCTCCCACATACCATAGTGGGGAAGGCCACGGGCTGGGGGAGCTCTGACATCTCTCTCTGGAACTGGCAGTTGTTAGAATGAGGGCTGCCAAGGACAGCATGTCACATCGTTTTCACACAAAACCACTTGAGAAGAAGGCCAAGAGCAGGTGGCAAGCAGGGGAGAAACGAGAGCACAGGTTCAGCAGTGCGCAGCTCTAGCTCCGCCACCCGCGGTGCACCCTCCAATGGTTTCCCCGTCCCTGTCCTTTCCCAAGGGCTCTCTCAGAGTTCCGGTTTCCAAGGCCAAGTCAGGTTTCTGGCTTCAGAGCCTATGGCTGGCTGCAGTGTTGCCATGAGTGCTCTTAACAGTCCAACCAAGTAGCTAAGCTAGGTAATCTGCCTGGGAGTCCATCTAAGCATGAAAAGCTAGATCATGTTAGGCATAGTGGCACATGCTTATAATTCCAGTCACCAGCACCACACACACGTGTGTGCGCGTGCACACACGCATGGGAGGCTGAGGCAGGAGGATCACTGTGAGTTTGTGGCCAGCCTGGGCTTCATAGTGAGATTCTTTTCAAAAACAAAAAAACAACAAAAAACCCAGTAGGAATGTGGTACATAGTCACAATGGAATATTAACCACAAAGCTGAATGAAATATTTTATTTTTTTATTTTTAAATTTTATTTTTTACTTTTTGCTGAACAAAATCCTGTCATTGGCAGCAAAATGGATGAAACTGAAGAATATTATGCTAAGTGAAATAAGGTAGACGCAGAAAGACAAGTATCATGTGGTCTCTCTCACATACAAGTTAAAAAAAAAGCCAATCTGAATGTGGAAGAGATTACCAGCAGCTGGGAAGTGGGGAAAATGGATGAAAGGAGGCTGCCTTTGAATAGCACATGCTGTATGCATGTAAGGGACTATCACACTGAAACTCATTAATATGCATAATCAATATCTGTCAGTCAAGCCCCAGGGGCCTAGAGCTCAGTGATAAAACACTTGCCTAGCAGGTGTAGGCTCTGGGTTGATGATCTCCATCACCAATGAACTCAACAACAAAAATGTCCCAAACCATTGAACCTTAGAAACCTCACTTTTAGAGACTCACATTAAGGCATTATCAAGGAGTGAGGCAAAAGTATCATCATAGTAATATCAATTCTAACTTTAAAAATTGGTATGTTAGGACAATAAGTTTTCTGTTTAGTCACAGCTATATGACCAGAACCTAGCTCAGCCAATTCACATCTTTGGAAAACAGTTAAAGTAATAGGGTAACATTCACGTAACAAAATGATAATTATTAAAATCTTTATTTATTTATTTATTTATTTGGTACTGGGGATGTAACTCATGCCCTTATACTTGCTGGGCAGGCACTTGTGCCAGAGCTAAGACCCTGGCCTTAAAATCTTCTTTTAAATAAATGTTTGGTGACATTGGAAAATGCTTCTGTCTATTATATCATCTTTTATTTCCAGTGGTGGGCAAAGCTTCATAATTTCAGTATTCTAGTAGGCTGAGACAGGAGGATTCCAATTCAAGCCTAACCTGGGCAATTTGTGACTTACCGAGACCCTGATTCAACATAAAAAGTATGAAATAGGCTGTAGCTGTAGCTCAGTGTAAAGGACCTGGTTTCAATCTCTAGTATTATAAAAAATAAAAACAAACAAAAAACCCTCATAAAAACAAAACTGTGCTTGTTTGGGCAGCACCTTCAGAAGGCCTGCTCCCCATAACCTCATAAGAGTTTGGGGGGACATCTAAACACAAACCACAGCATTCCACCCCTCGCCCCCCAAAAACTTATGTACAACCTTTGTGTAAAAAACATTTAGTTCATCTGTAAGAGTTGCCAAAGTCCTAACAGATTCAGTATTGCTAAAAAGTTCAAGTCCCAAGTCACCTCTGAACCTTTGGGGGCTGGCTAGGACGCCATTAGTTTCTGAAGCAAGACAGAGGTATAAGTGAGTGGCTAGGGCATGGCTCCTACTCATTGGTGGTGGCTCTGAAGATGCTGAGTCTAATGTTCGGGACTGGTTTATTGTCTAGCGCTAGGATTGGTGGTGTGAGTGCTGTACCCACCCAGGTGTGTGTAGTCAGCATGCAATATAAGAGAGGGAAGGAAGTAAAACCTTTTTGCTTTTGTTACCTTCCGTACATGCTGCCACCATGAATAGCTGCTCCTGTGCCACGCTACCCTGCCTTGGAGCCAGCTGAGTATGGACTGAAACCTCCAAAAACCGTAAGCTAAATAAATCTTTCCTCCCCTAATTTTGGGCATCAGATACTTTGTCTCAGCAATGAGCCAAGAGCACGACCAACCAAGTAAACAAAGAAAAAACCAAAACCAACCAACCAACACAAAACCCCCAACTCCTAAAAAACAAAACAAAACCCCCAAACCACACCAAAATGTTTGGAAGAAACTGTTCTTAGAAAATAACTGTGGGTAATTTTTTTTTTGGTTTTTGAGACAGGGTCTGGCTATGTAGCCCATGAAGGCCTGAAACTTACCATCTTCCTGTCTCAGCAGCCGCACTGGTAGAATTATAGATGTGTGCAATCATGCCTAACAGATTGTGATACGCTTAATTTATTGGGTATCAAAAATCAAATTCAGGACCTTGTACTTGCTAAGCAAGAGCTGTGCCTTTGCGCTAATTTTCCAGTCCTTTATTTTTTTAAGGCAGCGTCTACGAGGTGGCCCAGCCTGCCCTTGAATTCACTACGTGCTCTAGGCTTGCCTCAAAATCTGTGATCCTCAGTCTCCAAAATGGTGGGATTACGTCATATGCCACCAAAGCTGGGTATCTTTTTTGTGCTCTTTTGCTCCAGTTGCAAATCAGATACTGACGCATTCTAGGGAAATGTTGTACCACTGAGCTGCACCCCAGGATGTGCTATTGAAATTTTAATAGGCACATCATAGTTTTCCAAAGAGAATGTTTTCGAGGTGTTGCACTCTTCCATGTGCTTGCTTATGCTATTACTGATGACACCAGAAGGGGGCGCGGGGGCGCGGGGGCGCGGGGGCGCGGGGGCGCGGGGGCGCGGGGGCGCGGCTCTTCAGGAGCAGCCAAAGTCTCCCAGCCTCACCGATCCTCCCAGCTACTCCTCCCTGGAGAAAGACAGGAGGCCGTAAGGCCGCGGCCGGAAAAGGGCGCACGCCACACAGGCCCTGCCCTGCGCAGCGGAGGAGGCGGGCGCACGGCGTTTGTTTGGCTGCGGATTGGTTCTCTCAGCTCCCGGTCGCGGATTGGCCCTTCACTAACTCCCTCGGCAGCAGATTGGTTTTCCGTCCTGGCCACGTTGCATGCGCTGGGCCAGCCCCCCCAAGTCTTTGGAGCTGAGTGGGGCTGTGCTGTTCCTCAGCGCCGTCGCCCCTCACGCGCCCCGGAAGTTCCTCCAAGCCGACTCCTTCGGCCAGCGGCCCGTGAAGTCTCCCTCGACTCACCCTTTCTCTAGCGGCGTCTCCCAGCCCGCGCTTACCGGGAACCGGGCTGCCACGAGTATGAGCGTGGGTTTCATCGGTGCGGGCCAACTGGCCTGTGCGCTGGCGCGGGGTTTTACGGCTGCAGGTGAGCGCGCAGGGGCGGGCGGCGGCTCCCGGGAGGGTCGGGCCTGTCCCAGCACGCTCCACCCCAGCACATGCGTGCATACATGCTACAGTGAATGAAAAGGGAACTTCGTGCCCCGTGGGTACGATGAGATTCGTGTGATACCCCGGTAGCCGATCGCGAGTGTGGGAGACTGGCACTGGTTGAGCAAGCGATCTTGCTTTCCCAGAGAAATCATGGCAACACAGGTGAGCTAGCGTTCCCATTCTAAAAGCCCTGTTTACTCTGTAGGCATCCTGTCTGCTCACAAGATAATAGCCAGCTCTCCGGAAATGGACCTGCCCACAGTGTCTGCGCTCAGGGTAGGTGGAGTGCAGCGGTGTGAAGAGGGTGGAGGAGCCCAGGAAAAGAATGACTCGAGACCGACTCGAGCCGGCCTCGGGTCCCCTGCCTGGCTTCTTGGCTCCGACAACCCTTCAGAGTCATCGCGATCCTTTTACCTTCTATGGGGCAGCTTAGGTGGGAGACCCCAGCCAGGCCGACTTGGGTCAAATCCAGACAGTGGGGCGGTTGGAGGACTGATGGCGATAATTATGTGTGGAAAGCATCTGTCACATAATAGCCTAATAAAGACACATTTTTTTCTTCATCAATTAGTCGTGTGTTCTTGAGGTGCTGAGCCACACTGAGGCTATTTCCTCATTTACGGTAGCCACTTTGCTGTTGTCCTGACACATGAATGAGTGTACTGGGAAAGAACCTGGCAAATTGTTTGTTCCTATGTCCAAATCTCCAAGTCTTCCAAAATCTGGGAAGTGTGGGAGAGCTGGTAGCTAAGGAGGCAGGTGACTGGCATGGCTGTGCCTAGGACAGACAATCAAGGTCCTAGCCCTGGAGCTGCTTTTCCACTTGGGTCCACAGAGAGACTATATAGTCTGGTCAGTTGAGTGACTGGGGTTAGAATGAGGCCCAAGCCAGCTCTGCTTCCAGCCCCAGGTGCTAGCATTTCTCTTTTTCTTTTGGCTGTGCCCAGCCTGTGTGGAACCTTCTCACCTGGCAGAGATTAGTGAGGATGAGGGATGGGGACTTGCTGTACCCAGTTCCTGTGTTTACATACTCAGCAGCAGGTGTGGAAAACCTTCTTTGGGGTGGAGGTGGAGGATCTGAGGGTACAGGGCAAGGAATTGTGACTGCAGCTGTTGGAGCAGGCTTGGTGGGAGCAGTTCAGTTCCTCAGAGAGGCTCGGGCTTCACTAGGCTGCCAGCACACATATCCTTCTGTCTCTTTCTGTAGAAGATGGGCGTGAACCTGACCCGAAGCAACAAAGAAACTGTGCGGCACAGTGATGTCCTATTCCTGGCCGTGAAGCCACACATTATCCCCTTCATCTTGGATGAGATCGGGGCGGACGTGCAAGCCAGGCACATCGTAGTCTCCTGTGCGGCTGGTGTCACCATCAGCTCTGTGGAGAAGGTACTCATCTCAGTCTTTGAGTGAGAGGAAGGTGGCCTGGGAGCCGCCACCAATGAGTAGGAGCCATGCCCTAGCCACTCACTTAGACTTCTGTCTTGCTTCAGAAACTAATGGCGTTCCAGCCAGCCCCCAAAGTGATTCGCTGCATGACAAATACACCTGTGCTGGTGCGGGAGGGTGCCACTGTGTATGCTACTGGCACCCATGCCTTGGTGGAGGACGGGCAGCTCCTGGAACAGCTGATGAGCAGCGTGGGCTTCTGTACAGAAGTGGAGGAAGACCTGATTGATGCCATCACCGGGCTCAGTGGCAGTGGGCCTGCCTATGTGAGGCCTTCATGCCCCTTCATCTGGGAGATGTAGGCATGGAGTGGGGTGGGCTGACAGGCAGGCTTGGGCTAGGGGCAGCACCTTTTGAACGTGGCTAGCCAAAGAGGGAAGCTGACCTTGGGGCAAGTTCTGGTCATATCAAGAGTAGTCCTGGGAAGAGTTGGGAGTCCCTGCTTCCTGGGCTTACTGTGTATCTTCTTAGGCATTCATGGCTCTGGATGCGCTGGCTGATGGTGGGGTGAAGATGGGTCTGCCACGGCGCCTTGCAGTCCGACTGGGGGCCCAGGCTCTGCTGGTCAGTGTCTTCCCTGCATGTGTGGGACCAGGGTGTGACATGGAGTTTCTTGTGGGTTGCCAAGCTGAGGATGGGCTGGTTGGGGTTGGCCAGTAGCAGGGGTGTGGGGTTGCTTGTCCCAAGGTGCGCTGCCATCTTTTTCCTCTAGTGCTCCTTTGTGCCATAGGGAGCTGCCAAGATGCTGTTGGATTCGGAGGACCATCCAGGTCAGCTCAAGGACAATGTTTGCTCCCCTGGAGGAGCCACCATTCACGCCCTGCACTTCCTAGAGAGCGGAGGCTTCCGCTCGCTACTCATCAATGCAGTTGAGGCTTCTTGTATCCGTACACGGTAGCCTATTTATGTTCCTGGGCTGGGCTGGGCTGGGCAGGGCAGGGCAGGGCAGGGCAGGGCACCATCTTATGGTTCTTTCTTGCCTGCTGCCTCTGATCCTCTCAGTAGGGCTGGAGTCTGTTAACTTTTTTGCCCCATTTTCCATCATTGGAATGCCAGTCATTTGGGAATTAATGGTACTTATATCCTGTTGGTCAAGGTTGCTGCCAAGATCCAGTCTAATCTATTTATCTTTTTTTTTTTTTTTTGTCTTTTTGAGACAAATTCTCACTATGCAGTTCAGGCTGGCCATGAGCTCACTTTGTAACCCAGGCTGGTTTTGAATTTGCAATGATCCTCCTGCCTCAGCCTCCTAAGTGCTGGGATTACAGGCGTGAGCCACCACATCCAGATATTAATTTTTCAAAATAAAAAAATTGTGACCTCTGGCATATATGGGAAGCATGACTTATTAGATGTTGTTTTAAGAAATGTTGTTTAAGAATTCTCACCACACTTCCAACAGCTGGGTTTAACTTTGATATGTAGATGAGGAGGTTCAAGGTCAAACAGTTGATAGATGATGGAGGCAGGAATCAGCTTTAAGTCTATGATTCGACACTAATTCATACTCTGTTTTCTTTTTCTTTTTTTTTAATCGGTACCAGGGATCGAACTCACGACCACCCACTTGCAAGGCAGGCGCTTATGCCGCTGAGCTAAATCTCCAGCCCCTAATTCATACTCGTTTAATCAGACACCACTTGTCTTCTATGTCTAGCTCAGATCACATGAGATAAGACAAGTTAAATAATATTTCTATGAAGCTTGAGGAAGTGTTTGGTTTAAGGTTCTAATTTTTGGTGAAGTCAAGTTAAGGGTTTGGGGCGGTGTGGATAGGGAAAACTCAAAGCTCTGGCTTTTATCTATTTTCTTGAATCTGTCTGGAACTTTGCAGGGAGCTGCAGTCCATGGCTGACCAAGAAAAGATCTCCCCAGCTGCCCTTAAGAAAACCTTGCTGGATAGAGTGAAGATGGAATCCCCTACGGTGTCTACACTGGCCCCGTCCAGCCCAGGGAAGCTCCTTACGAGGAGCCTGGTCCCAGGAGGCAAGAAGGACTAAGGCACCTTCTGCCCCCTTGCTGTGACCCAGAGCCCTTGGGGAGCTCGCAGCTGCACAGGTGGGAGCACATCCAGATGTTTCAGGTGCTGATGGTAGAAACTCAGATTTCTTTATACCAAGCAGCTCCAGTTTCTTCTTGGGGCCCATGTAGGAAGAGGCTGTGAAAGAGGTGTTTGTCATTGGAAGCCAGACACAACCTTGCACACTTTCCTTCTGGGGGCAGAGGGCCTGGTAGCTGAGTTAGCACCTGGCCTGGTCAGAAAGTCTGCTCCTTCAACTGGAGTCCAAGGCAAATCAGATTGACGCCAAAGCAAGGAGGTGAGAGAGAAAAAACATGGAAGGATTCTCTAAATTGATACATGGAGAAGTGAGCAATTAAGAATTGTTTTCACTGGAAGTGTGTGGCATTAGATTATGCTTGTCTTTGATCCTTGTTTTGTGGATGCATCATTTAGAAAGTGTTATGTAGTGCTAAGTTTAGCTGCTTTAATAAAATTTATTTTTTGCTTTTCTTATACTTTGTCATTGTTTGCTGTGCTAGAATGCTCAAGACCCTTACCAGGTCCTTTCTGTATGGCTAAGACAAAACAGGAGAGCTGTAAGACTGCTCGAACCTGGATACTATGTTTGTGTTTGTATTTTTTTGCAGAGTACTGAGAACTCAATTCAGGCGTTTCACATTAAGCTACATCCCAGTCCTTTGTAAATTGTTATTAATTTATTTTTTATGAGACAGGTTCTCACTATGTAGTCTAGGCTGGTCTTGAACTTACTGTGGAGCCCAGGCCGGCCTTGAACTTACAGCCATCCACCTGCCTCAACTTCCCACGTGCTGGGATTGCAGGTGTGTGCCACCATGCCTGGCTAGTTTATTTTTACGCTTTGTCAACTTTTTTATTTTGAGACAGGATCACAAGTTGTGCAGGCTGAGCTCAAACTTGGGATCCTCTTGCCTCAGCCTCCCAGAATGCTAGAATTGACAGGCCTTTGTCACTAGCCTAGCTAAAACTTTGCATTTTGGGATGAATCAAAGCTAATGGCAGAGAAAAGCTGGTAGCCTTTGTGTGTGTGTGTGTGGAGAGTGTACAGTCGTAGCCCAGATACAAAGGAGAAAGCTGTTGGTCTTTTTGTGGGCTGGGCACTATGCTAGGTACACAGCTGCTCTATGAGGAGGATTGTTTGCTCACTTTGTAGAAGATGCTAAGGCCTGGCAGGGAGAAACTCCTCACCTTTGTTGTGCTGCCAGCGCATAACAGGGCTGGCTGTCATGTTCTCAGGTGCTGAAACTCCATCTTGCCACTGCAGTCCATGCAGTTTGGCTGAGCTGTGGTTGCCCCAGTGGGCAGTGCGTCTGGTGCTTGCCCCACAGCTCGCTGCCTATGCTGGGCAGCAGGGCTACTTTGGAAGAGGCATGGCCTTGGAATCCACATTTTCTTTCTTTTTTTTTTGTCTTTTTCATTTTTATCGGTACCAGGAATCGAACTCACGACTGCCTGCTTGCAAGGCAGGCGCTTATGCCGCTGAGCTAAATCCCCAGCCCTGGAATCCACATTTTCTGTGAGTTCCAAGTTTCAGACAGCCTTGGGGAAGTGACAAAGGAACTCTGACCTCAAAGTTTCATGCCTAAATGTAGAAGTCATGCTTTGCTGAAAGATTACGGTGGGAGTTGGTCACAGTGGCCCCTTCATGTACACTGCACTGAGTTGAGACAGCGCTGGCCCTAACTCCAAATCCAAGAGCCCACAGGGAAGCTAAAATCCTTTGGGTCAGCACAAGTACAACACTAGAATTCACTTTAAATCTTCACTATGTGGCATGCTTCTGGCAGATGCTTCACATACACTGTCCTTGTGGTCTTTGGCCAGCAAGCTGTCGAAAAAGGTTTGAGAAGATGTTTCACCAATATTCGCAGGTGGCACAGAGGCCCTGGCAGAGGGTTTGACACTGTTAGTGACCGAGGAGGTGCAAGGCAAAACTTTACATCCACAAGGATGAGTTTTTTTTTTTTTTTTGGTCTTTTTTGTTTCTGTTTTTATCGGTACCAGGGATCGAACTCACAACTGACTGCTTGCAAGGCAGGCGCTTATGCCTCTGAGCTAAACCCCAGCCCCTCAGGATGACTTTTTAAAGCGGGGTTTTACTGTGTAGCTCAGGCTGGTCTTGAACTCCTGGGCTCAAGGGACCCTCCTGCCTCAGTCTCCTGAGTAGGTAGGGATAGAGGTGCCCAGAAAGCTACTTATCATGTCTTCTGCAGTGTTACGATGCTAGGGGTCCAATCATGCCAGAAAAGTGCTCCACCCCTAAAACACACATAAAAACGCTAATTATTTTTGGTTTGAAAAAAGGCAAGCTGAACGTGGTAATGCCTGGCTGTACTTGTAGCATTCAGGAGGCCGAGGTAGGAGAGTTGCTGCAAGTTTGAGGTCAATCTGGGCTACAAAGAGTGAGTTTGAGGCCAGCCTGAACTACATAGTGAGCCCTGTCTCAAAAAGTGACAAAAACAAAACATTTCAGTAAGGATTTGGAGGAATTAGAAATGTAGTATACTACTAGTAGAGCCACTTTGGAAAACAAGCTAGCAGGTCCTCAAAATATTAAATGGTTAAATACTGTGCCAGTATACCTACTTCAAGTGTACAGACCCTGGAGAAATATATGTCCATGTGCATACAAAAGTGTATGTGCACGTGTTCATGGCAGCACTGTCCATAGCAGCCCATGGGGACAGGGCAGAGCTCAGTGGGACAGCGGAGTACATGTTCAGATGTATGATGTCCTGGATTGGATGGATCCCCAGCACTTTAAAAAAAAACCAGCTACTGAAAGAACAGTGGGCTATGCAAGATAGATGGAGTGTTGGCAGGTGTGCTACCTACAATGTGATGAGCCTGAGGAATGTGCTGGGTGAAGGAAGCCAATCACAAAGAACAAGCCCTATGATTCTGTTTCTTGGAGATCTGGAGTCCAGTCTGGTATCAAAGACCATCCCTCATCTTCCTCTCCACCCTGCAATACCATTGTTGCTCAGGCCTAAATCTATCAACAGATTTATAGAGGACTACCTCCAAGAGCAGATCATTCCTCAGTGTGTGGGTGAGGGCCATCCATGCTTTGACCAGATGTCAGGTACTGATCTGACCAAAGGCCCCAGTCCTTCAACAGGGATAGTTCAGGGAGGTTCAGGCCTTGGAGAATATTTCTGGTCATCTCCCCATGGTCTTGGGTATGTTGGAGGTCTTGCAAACACCCAGCACTCCCCTTCCAAGCAGCCATCTCACAGGGCTGATCTGAGCCAGCTGCTAACTCCCTGATGTGGCTGAAGAGGTCCCCAATAAGTCAGGATCTATTGAGGTTCTAGACCATGCCTTTCTTTTTTTTTTAAATTTTATTTTAAAGAGACAAAAGAGGACAGAACAAAGCAGATGAGAACAACAGTGTAAGCAACATAGCACTTCACAACAAGACTAGTAGCTACTGTAATGTCTCTTTCTTTGAAATAGTTGAGCATACCTTCACATAAAATAATATCAAACATAACAAAGTAGTATAAAATCATTCAAGAGAATGAAAGTATTACAGGGCATTCAGAAAATAACAGAAAATGAACAATGGCTATTATATTATCTCATTTTCCATGTAAAATTTGTTTATACTATCACACACACTAAAATCCAATAAGATAGAACCAATGGAAATAGAAGAACAAAAGCATGGTAGGGCTTAAAAGCAAGATGATACTAAATCAGCAATGGCTGCCATAATGTTTTCTTCAAAATAGCTGTTCATACCATCACACATAATAAAATCAAACCAGAATAAAACCATTTCAACTAATGAATAACATTATAAGGTTTCAAAGCAATGTAAGGGGGAATCATGATTATCATGAAATCTTATTTACTCTTACGCTTTCTTACACTAGGGAGACTATACAGTATGTATACATGAGTTTTATTTATTTTGTTATGAGTATGATCTCAAGTTGCATCCATTTATTGATAAATATCTCAACGTGATTGTTCTTTATAGCTGAGTAGTACTCCATTCCTCTGTTGATGGGCTTTTCCAAGATCTGGCTATTACAAATTGTGTTGCTATAAACATGGGTGCACATATATCACTGTGGTTTGATTTTTTCAGTTCTTCTGGGAATATGCCTAGAAGTGGAATAGTCATCCTAGCTCCTATGGAAAAACAGAGGTCATCATGCTACTGGATTCAGTTGGTTTTCTATAAATATCAGGTTGTTCCCTTATGTCAGTTTCAGTTGGCCAGGATCTGAGACAATGAATCTGGATATTACTTGGGTATCATTGGATAACTGGCCTACAGGGACCAGGTCGCACACATCAAAATTATCAACCAGCTCACAGTATATTTCTTGTTGAAGCAAAGGAATTATTTTGAACCATGTATCCTTGAAAGAGTGGAAGGGGACAGACTAAAAGGAAATGATTTCATGTAACTGGAGCATTCCTGTTGCCTTCCAGTCTTGTTCAATTTTCACATGAGTACCCTTGAGAACTACGCATGCACCTGTGAGAACAGGCAGTGAACCTGTGTGCAGTGGCTTGTGACTATAATCTCAGCTACCTAATGTGGCAGGGGCAGTAGGTTGGCAAGATCAAGGTCAGCCTAGAAATAGAAGCTTAAATATGACATGGTTTCTTTTGTATGAGAAATTCAAGTATAATTTTTTTTTGTCTTTTTCCTTTTTATTGGTACTAGGGATCGAACTCATGACTGCCTGCTTGCAAGGCAGGCGCTTATGCCACTGAGCTAAATCCCTAGCCCCAAGAAATTCAAGTATAATTAAAGAGTAAAATAAAAGACAGATAATAGGAAAGGAGTTGCTAGATCTTTTGCAAAGCAAAGGGGACCAAGAAATGGAGGAAGAAGTGAAGGAGGGAAGGGAAAGGATATAAAAAATTGAGATATGTTAAACACATGTACCAGGTACTTATGATGATGAATGTGATCATTAGGTATTACAAACATGTACTAATAAAAAATTTTAAAAATTAGATGTCACTCCTCCCTTAAAAACAGATTCTTTTGTCAGAATAGTGTAACTTTTTTTCTTCGTAAATGTTTGGAGTACATAATGATTATATTCATTGTGGAAAGCTGGTACAAGTACATGACACATCTAAATAATTTACAACCTCCACCCCTCCACTTCCATTTCTGCTCTCCTCCTTCAGTTCCTCCCCTCTTCCCTTCTGCTCCCCATCCCTGCATCCCATGGAACCTCCTATGTGTGAAAATATGTTTGTAGTACATGATACTTATCATTCTCATAGGAACTTTGTAGATGTACATGGCACTTCACAATCCACCCTTTTCCTTTCCTTTTGCAATGGCAGAATTCAAAAAAATTGAGGAGGAATTATCTACACTGTTTGAATTGTAGAACTAGAGAAATGAAAAAAACTCTAGCTTTGGAAGCAGCCTGAAGTTTTGCCCATTTTATGGGAGTTGCTATTCAGCTAGCTTGGATGTGCAATGTTACATC